AAACTGTCAATGCTTGTTTCTGAACAACAGCAAAACCAGCAGACGCACTATTCTTTAATAATGTGCATGAGCGTTTGGATTTTGGTGTGTCAGTACCTCCAGGCTGGTTCAGTCGAACCCTGGACTGGAATTCAAGTCAGCCACAGCGGGGGGATTTCCACGTGCCTTTTAGCCGTCGTGATAGCAATGTAAAATTGTGCGTCATGCCATGGATGCATCCACTCACTTCTGTGTGCCTACAGGGCAAAAAGCTCTTCAGCTGACAGTGAAGTAATGTTTGACTCACACTTCAGGTAAACTCTTAATTAATTTCTCCCATTATGGGATCTGGATCTGAAGGCAACACCTGGACTTCAGTGCCATCCAGTGGTGACAACAAAGACGGTTGTAATGTGGGAACTAAAAAAAAAAAAAGACAAAACCTTTTTGTTTCCAGCAACTAAATGTCAGATTTATTCTAATCGCAATACTTTACAAATATATGTTAAAAGCAACATATCTAAATCTATTGAAAGTCACTGACGGTGTCTATAAACTGTTTTCTAAAACAAATTCTGATAACTGGAAGCCTCAGAAGGGACTTCTCCATCCATCATCTTCTGCTTGTTCCAACGTCGGGTTGAGGGGGCAGCATCTTGAGCAGGGAGGTCCAGACGTCTCTGTCCACAGCCACCTCTTCCAGGACTCCAAGGTGTTCCCAGGTAAACAGAGACGTGGTCTCTCCAGCGTGTCCTGGGAAAAAAAAGATGAAGTACCTTCTGCTTCTCCTTGAATCTCCACCTTATCGTGGTGGAGTTTGTGCGCCTGAATAATCCCAGGAGCTTTGCTCCAGTATGTTGGGGGAAGAATCAGTTTTGTTGTGTTTCCTTGACTGATGAAGCCTTCCGGATCGAAGGCGAAATGTTTCAGCACAAAAAAAAGAAACTGTCCAGATGACCTGACTGAAAAATGTTGGACTGTATACCTGGATTATTGAGCATGGACTTTGTTGGCCCCACTATGGTCCGCCAAGTCAGATTGGTTCTAGATGACAGGTCAAAGGGCGATTCCAAAAATTCATGGTCAGGAAATATCAAAGAGCTCAGTGTCCCTTGCCCGAACATGGGTTACCGGGGCCCCACCCTGGAGTCAGGTCTGGGGAAAGGGCTCGTCGGTGAGCAACTGTTGACCGGATCTGTACACAAGAGGTCTGGTCGGGCTCAGGTCCAACGAGCAGCATGGGTTTGACTTCCTGTGGGCCCACCACCTGCAGGAGGGGCCATACGAGTCAGGAGCACGACTCCAAGGGCAGTGGCTGAAGGTGGAGGACTTGGCGCTCAGCAGGCTTAGGTACAAAGGTAATTAATCTTTTATTTTTATTAAACAATTTAAAAGTCATGTTGAATTTTTTAATGGCTCAATGGGATTTACCTGTCTAAATAAAGGTTGAATGAAAAAAAAAAAGAGCCTGAATATTTCTTGAGGCACAAATTTATACATTTCTGGAGTCCATTGCTGAAGTTAAATATATTATAGTTTGGAAATTGTCAACCTGGTCATCTAAAACAAAAATATATATATTTTTTTAGTTTAAAGACAAATAAATCATTCAGGTTAAAGGCAGTGGACCCAAGGTTCATGTGACAAACCTAACCAGCCATCACTGTCATTTATACTTGACCATTGCCCACATAGAGGGTTGTATTATCCCTATTCATGTGAAATAATAGAATAAACTTTATAAAATGAGCATTGGAAAAAAACTAAAAAATACAGATGCCTTTTCTTGGTTATCAGTGGACACAATCCTGGTTAGATGTTTGACCAGTCGTGGCAGAGTGGGTTCCAGGCGCCTTCGAGCTTTAAGCCAAGCACCTTCTGATATGTTTGACAGTGCTCGATTTGTAAATCAAACAATGATGGACTGCAAACCAGTGTCTCCCCCAGAAATTATTGAATAAAGTAGATGCCATTTCCTGCATTCTGGTGTATTTTAATGGGATCAACAATAAGTAGCCTGACCAACAGCTCTCCTTGTGTGAATAGAGCAAGCTCCGCTTCTCTCAAGCATCCCAACCCCTCCTGCTCATGTACGACAACCTGGTTAGCTCAGCACTCACCCACACCACTCCACCTGCTCCAGTATCTCCATTGCCACTGCCTTCATGTGCTTCAATTCTCGGTTTAGTCGTACAATGAGAAAACTTTTTTTTTTTTTGTATGAAAGTAAACGGGACTGATTTTTTTTATGTTTTGATCGGTTATTTTGACAAATTTGCACCGTTGTTATACATGATGTGTCATAGCGTGATTACCCATCAAACATTTCTCTCATATTTTTAATAAATAATCAAAAATTTTTTAATGACCCACTTAAACTGTAAAACTGATTTGTAATTTAGTTGTGCAGTTGAATTATATTTTTGAGTTTTTAATTAAGTTGCCCATGACTGAACTTTTAGGGTTGGAGATTTTTTTTAAGGGTAGAAGTGGAAACGCTTACTTGAAGGGGCAGCTCTGATGTGATATTAAAGCTCATAAAGGTTGTGTTTAAAATGAGTGTTTATGTAATTATTTTCAGATTACACGTCAAATATAGGTTTTATTCATTCAAGGCAGTCGAATGAGTTCATAACTTTATTATTAGTAAGCCTGAGAGTTACCAGATTCAAGAAAACAGTTATTGGAACACATCCTGTCAAAATAAGAGTTCCCGCATCCTGTTCCAGCAGGATCCGGCTCAAATTAAACCCTGGTTAGAGATGAAAACTTGATGTCAGTGTCACAACCTGCTCATTTAAACACGCAGCTATGCTCCGAGTTTAAACTTTTGTTTTGAAGTTATCATTTTTTATTCTATTTCATTTCCACCACATTATGACGCTGATTCTGTGCACGTGAAAATTAATTCCTCACCTTTACTTCTCCAATCTTAGTCCTGGTGAAAACTCAACGTTTTAACAGAAACAATGAAGATAAATTAAATAAAAACAATCGAAGCCCGCCATGTTGGAGGCCAGCTCAGTTTTTCAAACTAAAGGTTTTAAGATGGTAATTTTCTTCACTGCTGACATTTGAAACTACCGTCATTGGTTGCAGTTTTATTTGGACACATTAAGACATAATTTAATAATAATAATGCACACAAAAAAAAAAACAGTGACAAAATATATGGAATAAAATTAGACAAAAAAGGAAAATAGTCAAAAGTTTTGAAAAAAAAACCTTTAATAGCAAATTAGAACATACATTGAAAAAGGGAGGCTAAATGTTGAAACAAAGAGGCTGTAGGGAAAGTTAGAAGAAGCAAATATTTCAAACATGGTTCAGCTGCCAGCTTTAAAAAAAAAACAAAGAGGTTTATTCACAAAAAATAATGTTCATTAAGTCTGACAAGATTAACTTGTAGAAACGACCTGAACGTTAGAAAAAAACTAAACAAACACTTCAACTTCAGGAAAAGAACTGAAGCTCCAGGTTTAGGGAAATCATCAAAGTACAGTCATTTACGTCACGTCAGTTCGTTAAAGAAGCTACAACTAAAAATCTAAAGTATTTTTAACTAGTCCTTTAAAAATGACTCGGATCATACACTGGAGCTTAACTCTTCTCATTTAGAAACTTCTGGAAACTCTTCCTTGTGCAGGAAACTTTTCCACAGAGATTTTCACCTGATAAATGGAGAATGACATTCCTAGTAATTCGTGGATTCATGGCTTGTGAACTACATTTTTTATAAGTAAAAATTACTTTTGTCTTGGATTGCTGGCAAATTAAAACAACAACAAAAAAGTTTTCCGCACACTGAGATGCTTTGAAGTGAGTGGACGGATTTCTCTATGATTACAGTACTTTTGCCTGGATAAGCCAAATGCAATATGACACATTAACAGTTTTTCAGAAACAAAAACGGGTGGAAAGAAAAGACACTTGCAGGCTGATGATAAGAAAATGATCCCGGTATCGGCCGTAAGCAGTCCCGAATCCTCAAGTTCACACAAATCAAGACAGAATGATTCCTGGTTACATGCAAGACTTTCAAAAACACAGTCTGATATTTCTCCTTTCATCGTTTGCACAAGAAAGAAACGAGTCGACAAATGCGACGAGCAGCGTCGGACAACAGGAAGTGCTGGAACGTCAACCTGACTTTGAACAGCCAAGGAAGAGCCAGCACCTGATCCACCAGCGCCACAAAGGACTGTTCATCTGCAGATGCTTTTATTTTGTAGGTACAATTTGAGTCTTTTGGAGTGTGCAGATGTCGCCTTCACTTCGATACATTTTGCCTCCAAAAACAGTTTTTTTGTCTTTTTTTATAATCTTATTGCAATCATTTACCCAATTTACTGGGTTTTCTGTTCAGTGTTGACGGCATATCTTGGATTTTATTCATTATGGCTATAAATCAGGAAAACTTCAGTCAATTTGACAAATAGCAACTTGACCGGGGTGTCCCCACTTGTCCCGTTTTGACCGCTGGGATAGCCTCTAGCCTCAAGCCCCCCCACAGAGAAATGGCGACCCAAAGAATCTGACCCTGAACCTGAGAGGTGCCTCCTCCAGCTGATCCACAACTTCACATCAGATCAGCGTACTGGATGGATCTGGACCTGCACATCTGGGATTGTTGCTGAACCGTTTGTATTATATTTTACAGCATATAAAACCGGTTATATATTTGTTAATTTGGCCGTTATTAAACGATGGCAGTTCATCCTTTGACTGCGGTAAAAACAGTGACCTCTGCTGTGTTCTTACACTTGAGTTTAGGTTTAGATCACTTTAGAATTTGGTAAAGACCAGATGTTTTTGTTGAAATCTGCCCTGATATGTAAAACACTAGAAGTGAACAAAAGGTGGTAAATGTCAGAACCAAGAAACAAAAAGCATCACTCTGATGATCTGGTACAAAGACTGTACTAAAACGTTCAACAAAATACTTTGAAAGCTCTTTAAAAAGCCTGGAACACTTAAAGTCTAAGCAAAATGTTTAAAAAAGGAGTTCAGGCCATTTGTACAGTTTGGTATATTTAATGATCAACGTGCTCCTGGTACATTCTGGGTTTACAGCTAGCTTTACTTTAAAACAATGTGATTTCATCTGAATTTATTCTCTTGTTGAAAATTAAATCTAATTTTGCTTTAAGTTGAAATAAAGTTGACCTATTTCCCTCCTATAATAAAATACATTTCAGGTAACAACAGGTAAAATGCTTAAAGGAGGAGCAGATTAAAACCACCTCTGCACAGAATTCACGGCCTGGTTCACGTGATGTTAGTGAAACAGCAAAGAATAATTTCATGTATCATTTAGTTTTCTGATCACAGACCTTAGAAGTACTGACTAGATACGAATGTGTTGACTGTGCCTTTAAACGTCTTGCAGGAAAACGCAGAAACGATCCTTCTTACTGTTACTTCTTGAGCGTTTGCAGAAAACTCCAGAGATCTTTGACCACCTGAGGAAGGTGAGGGGAGAAGGAGAGAAAGAAAGAGTAAAAAATATAAATCATCTAAATGAAGTGCTAAACTGCACGAGGCACATGACTCACTTTTACTACGACATGAGTTTTGTGCCTGTTGCCTGTGGGAACGTTGAGTTTGGATGGGGCTGTTGGGGGAGCGACGAGGGGCTGGGTGGGGGCAGCAGCACATACCAGAGCGTATGACTAGGTGCTTCAGGTCTGACAGATCTCAGCCTTGGCTGATGAAACCAAAGCACTTCCACAGATGTTTCTACACACTGGGATCAACAAGCTCTCCCAGACCCGGCACCACCCCCACTCTCCGCCTGTCCACCCAGCCCGTGTCGCTCCAAAGAGCTTCCACCTGCTCCAACTGTGGAGCTCAAACCCCAACTGTCTGGACAGTGTGCTTCCAGTGACCTCCTTCAGAGGCAGAGCTGCTCTGAACACGGTGCAGAAGATGATAAGGCCTGCACTGAAGACGTTTTGTTCTTCAAAGAGCCTGTCAAAACTTTATTTACACACATTAAACCTATCACACAAGCACTGACTGTAAAGACTTTGTGCTAAAACAAAGTGTGTGTGTTTTTTAAAGAGAAATGTGCTTCATTGACAAACTCGAGTGTTTTATGGAAAAAAAGAAGGATTTCTGAGTTTCTAATTACAACAGCTGCATTTGATACAGTTGATAACAATATTTTACTACAGAGGCTTGAATATGATGTTGGAATTACAGGAACGGCTCTAAATTGGTTTAAATCATATCTATCTGATAAGATTCCAGTTTGTAAATGTAAATAATAAATCTTCTTCATATACCAAAGTTAGTCATGGAGTTCCTCAGGGCTCAGTGCTTGGGACAATATTCTTTACTTTATATATGCTTCCATTAGGTAAAGTTATTAAACAGCATGGGATAAATTTCCATTGTTATGCTGATGACACACAGTTATATTTGTCCATTAAACCCAATGAATCCAATCAGCTACTTAGACTACAAGCATGTCTTAAAGACATAAAAACCTGGATGACCCTTAATTTTCTCCTGTTGAACACAGACAAGACTGAGGTTTTGGTTTTTGGACCTGAGCACCTTAGGAATACATTTTTCAGTCTTTCTCCCTCCTTAGATGCATTAATCTGTCCTCCAGCTCTAATGTTAAAAATCTTGGTGTTATTTTTGATCAGGACATGTCTTTTATTCCATATTTTCCTAACAGAGCACTTCGCTCTCAGGCTGCAGGTTTACTTGTGGTTCCTAGAGTTTACAAAACCAGAATGGGAGGCAGATCTTTCAGTTGCTCCTCTCTTGTGGAACCAACTTCCAATCTCTGTCTGTGAGGCTGACACATTGTCCAGTTTTAAAACTAGGCTTAAGACTTTCCTTTTTGCTAAATCCTATAGTTAGGGTTGGCTTGGGTTTCCTGAGCTGTCCCTTAGTTATGCTGCTATAGGCTTAAGCCCCCAGTATACTGCCGCGTACATCCATACGCAGAGGTACGCACGTACGTACGCAGAGGTACGTGCGTACCCCCCAGCATACCCTCCGTGCAAAGCTCACATTTTTACGACCGCATACGCGGTGTCGCACAATAAACTGCCCACCGATGGACTGTTTTGTATGCGACACCAATGTATTAAATTCCCCTTCTTCATCTCTGATCTGGCCTTTTCTTTTGTTTGCCAAGAGGCAGTGATCTCTTCCTCCTCCGTTGATGCCATGACTGAAATGTTGAGAAATGAAGGAATTTGTCACAAGCGAATTAAACTCAGGTCCAGCGTGGCTGCAGGAGGGTCTGGAGATTTCCTGGTGGGCTGGTCTGATGTGTGGGCTGTAGAACCATATCTTTTTATCTTTTTATTAACAACATATAAACACAGAACACCGCTGCGTGAGGCTGCCAGCGCTCGCTTGTTTTTCTTTTTACCGACCTGTCAATCAATCCAGTAGGCGTGTCAGCAAATGACCAATCGGCGACCTCAATTTGTCCTGAAGGTAAACGTCCCTTGTCTGTGAAGCTGCTCTGCAGCTGCTCGGGGTGTACGCTGGAGTATAATGTTTGAACCCTCTGCGTACAGTACACGCGTACGTACGTACGCGGCAGTATACTGGAGCCTTTAGACTGCTGGAGGACAAACTGACCACAATTTTCACTCTACTACTGTCTTTACTTACTCTGCTCAACCTGTTTTGTATTTGTAATTTTTTTTCTATCCTTAACATGTGGGTTTTTTTTTGTCTTTCAGGTACACCTGGGCCTATAACTGGACCTACACCTAGACCTACCATTCTGTGTTCGTCTGTCTCTCCTTCCTGTCCTCTCAAACCAGCCGGTCAAAGCAGATGGCCGCTTGTCCTGAGCCTGGTTCTGCTGGAGGTTTCTTCCTGTTAAAAGGGAATTTTTCTTTCCACTGTCTCCACTGTGCTTGCTCAGGATGGGAGACTGCAACGAAGCCAAGATTCATCTTGTCTGCTGGATTCCTTAGATAGAGAACTTTACTAATTGGCTTCTATGTATGTGAATGTTTCTGTAAAGTGCCCTGAGACAACTTTGTTGTGATTTGGTGCTATATAAGTAAACTGAATTTAATTGAACAGCCAACAACTGCATGTCATTCAAATACATGCAGTCTGTTTATGCTAAAAAAAATAATAATAGGAAGTTTTAAATTACCAATCAGTACTCTGATGTTCCCCGTCACTCAGGGACTTGAACAGTGGATGTTTGTAGTTTTTGAGATGAGTGTTTTTCTGGACTGGAATGGATCAGAGAATGGAAGTGAACCTGAATGTTTTTTGGTGCAAGATACTCTCAGGAGTTACACACCGTGTAGTTAAACAGAGGTTGCTTATTATTTTTTCTTGTCCGAGGCAGCACAGACGATGAATCCTGATGAGTCAAGAAGCAATTTTATCCACCACCAGGTGCAGTGGTGGAGCCAAAAGGGTGGCCAATGGTGGCCTTGACCACCATAGGTCTTTGGCCGCCACAATCATTTGAGGAAACTATGCTTTCTAATGTTTATATTTCTTAAAAGTATAGTTTCTTCAAATGATAGGATGACCAGTTTACATACATATATGGATGGGCGATCTGGGATTTTGACATGACAACCGAATTTTTAAAAGAAAAAGTTTTGTGTGTTGCTGCCTTGCCATCACGCCATCGTGGTTAAAAAGACTAGTGCTATTCACATACATCAGCTGTAGCTGAGTGGTATAGCAGTCGTTCTTCAATGGAAGAGTTGGGGGTTTGCTTCCACCAGCAGTCACATGCTGAAGTGTCCCTGGGCAAGACACTGAACCCCTCATTGCCTCTGATGTGTGTCCCATCAGTGTATGAATGGGATCTAAAGTTCTGATAAGTCCTTATACAGATCTAGTAGAGAGCTATAGGAGTATAAATGAGGGTACAGATTGTGTTGTAAAGAGCTTTGAGTATCTTGATAAGATAGAAATGTGCTATATAAGTACAGTCCATTTACCATTTACCATACATCCTTTCATTCAGGCTACAGAAGACTAAATCCAGTGAATCCCAGGGAGTGAGTTTGCCTTGGCAGGTGTACTTTCAGAACAGATGCTGAGACAATAAAAATATGTTTAAAAAAAGCTGTGCTGTATACGTTTCAGGTTTACGAGATACTGCAATGTATGAGGACAGAGTGAGGAATAACAACACATTCTTGGAGAAGTACCACTGAAAAGAGCTTAGAAATGTTAAGGTTTGCATAAATGTGCCCACAGCTCCAGATACTCGACTAATGAAAGTATGTTTTACAAAAGTCTCGCAGGATATAACACTGCTGGGCCTGGCTGATAAAACTAAATGCACCGATAGTGGTAATACAGAAAACTGATATAAACAAAACTTGATTAAAGCAAGAAGTCTACTTTTGAATTTATTGAAATAAGGTCATTTAAAACTGCATACATTAATCATTACTTACACTTTTGTCTGTGACTTTATAAGCAGTCCTGGCATAATTTTCAAACTTCTGTTCTGTCTTCGGTAGTGGTTTCCCCTGAAAAAAGAACCATTAAATCAAAACTTACCAGTCAGTGAAGAGGAACACCTTGCAGAAAAAGAGATGGTCTTACCTCTTTGGCTGCTGTTGCTAGTTTATTCCTAATCTCAGACAGAGATGGAGATTTAGAAGTGCCAGCCTGGGGTTTGTCTTTTCCTTGGGAAGGTGTCTGAAAAAAATTAATACATTAGAATTTAGACTTGTAGTTAAGATGATGCCTCGTAATTTCTGTTGCTATTTTAGTCATTTAAAATTAGGTTCAGGTCTCAGAAATATTTAGTTTTTATTCCATCTGAACCTAAAACAAAGCCGCAACATGACATGTGAACAATTAATTAATTCGCTGACCAATAAGCCGTCTGGACTGCAGCCCTAACGTGACCCATTTAGTCTGGGTCTGCGTTTACGGGCTTGGCATTGGCAGCTGGAAGAAGATTAAAGCATTTAGAAAGGACAACACATTCTTGTTTAATTACATCTTTTTCTTTTTAAAACAAATACACCAGGTACAAATTATGTTATTTTTTTTTATTGTTTGCAATTAGGAGACTTTCTGCTGAACAATACAACAGTTTTTTTCTACTGAGGGAAATTTACATTGACTGAAAAAAGGATGTGCAGTCATTGTTTGGTCATTTCAAAAGCACGGCTTTCTGTTCAACTGGACTGAACGATCAGCCCATTAAAACGTTTCTGCCACAAGCAGTCTTTATTTTATCCTTTCAGCAACATAAGTGCTTTCCCCCCAACTTGATGACTCTCCTGTGTTTGGGAGGATGAGAGCAGCATGAGCACTTCACTTGAAGACTTGTGGGCGTGTAAAGAACTGGACAGTCGAAGACCCAGAGGTCCTGTATAAGAAAGTGTCTCAGTGTGACACACACACACACACACACACATGCCATATGGTACGACTGCATGTTAAACAAGCTATGGATCCTGTCTCTACACGCAACACAAGAGTGGAATCCAGCAAAATTGCAGGGTTTCAATGATAGGAAGAGGCACATTTGAAGGCAACAGAAGTAATGTACAGAACAAGCCTTTAACTATCCAGGAGCTACGACACAAACATCTCCACAAAGACACAAACAACGTCCAACGTACTGTTCTTTTCTTTCCAACCATACCTGACACTTCTAAACATCCCACTATTCTATACTGTTTATAGTAGTTTTATTTCCACGTGAAAAGTTCTTCACTGCTGATCAGGAACAGCTGGTTTCAATTACTTTCATAAACGTGCAACACATTAAACCAACAAAATCATGATTAAAATAAAGTAATATTAAAGAAAAAAAGATTATTACAACTGCCATACTGTAACCACACAATCATGTGAGTAGGCCTGTCAAGATAACAAATTCGGCTGGGCGATTAATTGTCTCAGAAATTAAACACGATAATTAATTGCGATAAACGATAATACTGTTTGAAATTTGACAATAATTAGTAGTTATTGTCAAATTTAAGAAGAAATGTTGGTTAATTTTGTGTCTAGTACCTTTTTTGATCACTGGATGGCAGTAAAAGACTGTTTGGACCAAAGGATAGACAGTGAGGGAGCGAGCAGCGTGTCTCTTTAAGAAAAATGGGAGGGAGGCCCCTTGACGTGACATGGGCTGTCTCTCTTTGGTTGTCAAAATGGCAGAAGTTCAGTGTGATTTGATCTCTTTAGCAAAGCATTTTTCACAAAAATCCTTTAATTAAAAAAATCAGTAAACAAGTTCTCAGCTTCTTTTTGCAGAGAAAAAACAACTTTTTACACGAAGGCAGAAGTTTCAACCGTGAATTTTGGAGCTTCGACAAGACAGAGGTTTTTTCCCCCGAGGTCGGCCTGTTAGCTTAGCTCGTAGCTTAGCTGCTTTTAACGATCCAAAAAACATGATTTTGAACGGTTAAAACAGATTTTAAAGAGAAAAGAGAAAGGGAGGGGTCAGTGAAGAACACCGGAGTCGAGCCTTTTGTCATCCAGTGTCTTCAGAAGAGACAGACATGAAAAAACAATAAAGCCAATAAATGAAAATGAGATTGATAATTTTCATTTGTCATGCGATTAATTGATTTATTGTTTATCGCAACAGGCCTACCTGTGAGTATCTGATAAGTGTATACAATGATACCAAGCACAGGCAAGTTTCAGAAGTTTTTTATACGATCATAAATTTAAATAAACCATTTCTAGCATAAAATAAAAAATAAAGGTTGAATGAATGAAAAAAAAAATCTAAACTCTAAAGTTTACACTTTTAAAACTAAAAATAAACTGGTTCTTATCGAGTATTAAGATTTGGTACAAACAACAAACAAATAAAATACAAATCACAGCGCTTCAAGTTTTCCACATTCTTTACGTTAGTCTTATTCCAGATTGTATTAAATTAATCTCTTTCCTCAAAATTCTACACATAATAAATAACCCATTATGACAATGTGAAGACTTTTTTTTTTATTTTTGCAAATTTATTAAAAATAGAAAACTAATAAATCACATTTTTATGTAAGTTTTCACAGCCTTTGCCATGAAGCTCAAACTGAGCTCAGATGTTGTTTCCACTGATCATCTTGAGATGTTTCTACAACTTCAGTGGAGTCCACCTGTTCAGTTGATTGGACTTGATTTGGAAAGACACACCTGTCTATAGAAGGTCCCACAGTTGACGGTGCATGTCAGAGCACAAACACCAAGCATGAAGTCAAAGGACTTCTCTGTAGATCTGAGACAGGATTGTGTTGAGGCACAAATCTGGGGAAGGATAGAGAAACATTTCTGCTGCTTTGAAGGTCCCAATGAGCTCAGTGGCCTCCATCATTTATAAATGGAAGAAGTTTGGAACCACCAGGACTCTTCCTAGAGCTGGACGGACATCTAAAGCGAGCGATCAGGGGAGAAGGGCCTTAGTCAGGGAGGTGACCAAGAACCTGATGGTCACTCTGTCAGAGCTCCAGTGTTTCTCTGTGGAGAGAGGAGAACCTTCCAGAAGGACAACCATCTCTGCAGCAATCCACCAATCAGGCCTGTATGGTGGTAAAGTGGCCAGATGAAAGACGCTCTTTAATAAAAGGCACATGGCAGACCATCTGGAGATACAAGGCACCTGAAGGACTCTCAGACCATGAGAAACAAAATTCTCTGATCTAATGAGACAAAGACCGAACTCTTTGGTGTGAATGCAGGTGTCACGTTTGGAGGAAACCAGCTCATCACCAGGACAACACCATCCCTACAGTGAAGCATGGTGGTGGCAGCATCATGCTGTGGGGATATTTTTCAGCAGCAGGAACTGGCAGACTAGTCAGGAAAAAGGGACAGATGAATGCAGCGATGTACAGACACATCCTGGATGAAAACCTGCTCCAGAGAGCTCTGGACCTCAGACTGGGGTCATTTTTCAGCAGGACAACGACCCAAAGCACATGGTCAAGATCTCAAAGAAGTGGCTTCAGGACCATTCTGAAGGTCCTGGAATGGCTTCAGGACCACTCTGTGAAGGTCCTGGAGTGGCTTCAGGACCACTCTGTGAAGGTCCTGGAG